CGCCCACGGCCACTCTCGCCGCCAGCGCTCCAGAGCGCCACCTGGCCAGCGCGGGGCGGCGGCCCAAGACCCTCGCGGGTGAGAGAACTGCCCAAGGACAGTGACAGGCTCCCGCCCCGCCCTGCCTCCGAAGCCCAGGGCCAGCACTTACCCTGGCAGGCCTTCCCCGCCTGACAGTGCGTCATGTGGTTCAAGACATTCTTCATGGTGCGGCAGTGGGGGAGCGAGCAGGCGCGCACCTCCCCGTTGGCTTGCTCCCGGCGCTGACACTTGTGGGCGTGGAGCAGGAGGACCAGCTGCTGCTGGATCAGCTTGCGCTTCTCCGGGTCTGCAGTGGGGCCCGCTGCGATCGCCTGTGTGGGTACGATTCCCACCGGCGTCTGCATCTGGGACTGGAAACAAGGTAATAAAAAGACCTTACTACGCTTTCAGAGCTGCAATCCATGCTCATTCATTCGTTCCCAAAATACTGCCAAAGCCGACAGGAACGTGGGCCTCAGAAGACGGCAGCCGGTGGGGTTTTCCTTACTCATGGGCGACGCTCAAGAAGCCCCAGAAGCACAGAGGCCGGCAGCTCGGAAGCCGGGGGCGAGCAAAGCTCACTTGTAGATGATTATCTGAGCGCAAGAAGCGGCACTCTGGGGAAGGCGGCCACCAGACCCACGTCGCTCCACTGCACATACCACGGGGGACAAGGTGTGGCTGTATCGGGCTGAGCCACACAACGGTTTGCAGGCCCCAGACTGGCACTTTCACGTGGCTCAGCGTCCCTAAGGCGACGACGGCCGGGGCCTGCTGCGCCCGAGCCCGCTGTGGCCAGCGCCGGCCACCTGCACACCCACTTCCCAGGGGCGAGCCGGGCCGCTCCCGACCTCTTCTGAAGGTGGCGACACCCTCCCTCGGCCAAATTTCCACGCAGACCCCTGACAACATTCTTTTCTAAGACGACTTGGATGACCTGCTGAAGCTACAGAGGCAGAATTCAGTCGCTCTCCTCTTTTCGGAAGAGCAGTCCAGCCTGCACCTTCCACACCTCTGAAGGCAGAGAGGCGGAAACGCCAGCTCCGCAGCCCTCTCCGGGCAAAGACACCAACGAGCCGGAAGGCGCGGGCTCCCCTCTGCCGCGTGACCCGCGCACGGGGCGAGCTGCCCGCCCAGGGCTCAGGCAGCCGGCGTGGCCTGGTGGCCTCGCAGCCGAGGGCAGTCGCAGAAGCTCCCGGAGGGAGAGCCAGGGCAGCGCTTCTCGGCAATGGGAGCTCTCTGCTGTGCTTTTTGAGACCTCGGTCAGAACTTCGAAACTCAGCACGTTGAGAAGCCACACGGTCTCGCTCAGAGCTGACTCCTGGAGACCTGAAGCAGGTCCAGGCCGAAGCCAGGTCCAGCTGCGAGGCGGGCAGCAGGCCAGAGGAGTGGGGCCTCCACGAGACGACAGCCCCGCTTGCTTGGAACTCTGTCTCTGGTAATAACAAAAATGCGCACGCTAAGAGAACGCGCGCGGGAGCAGCAGGACGACCGCGGAGGAACCTACAGCCGAAGGGCCGTGCCGGAGGCTGCTGCTCAGTGCCCACGCCGGACCTCCCTGTGCAGCCCGAGCGCCCGGCCACAACCAAGACAGCCCCGGGGCGCGGCCCGCGGCCACGCGCACTGGCCGAGTCCGCCCGGGGTCTGGCCCGAATGTGAAGGTGTCTCACCCAGCAAGGCAACGCCGGCCCGATAACCACGCGACGGCCTCTCATTTAATCCACGTCTGGCTGCTGGGCGTAACTGCGCCCCCACCCTCTTTTTTTTTTTTTATTGCTATTTAAAAAAAGCATTAGAAGCAGCGTGGCAGCATTCCGTACTGATACCAAGTCTCCCTGGTTAGCTCGTTCCCACGGACTACAAAGTTCATCCCAAACCGACAGGAGAACGGCCAGCTTACCCCTTCAGGTCTCTTTCCTTTTGCATTTACAAACATTTCAAACAAATCCTGGCTGGGAGGCCGGGGAGACGCCACAACCCTGCTAACAAGGTGCCCAGCTGTCCCCGGACGCCAGCGGGAGCCCAGCGCACAGACCGGCTCCTCCCGCCAAAGCCGTCCCCAGGCCGCAGCGGCAGCGCCCGCCCCGGCTCCTCGCCACCTTCTTCACCTACGCCCCCGGGCTGCTTTCTCGAGGAGCCCGAGCCAGGTGTCCTGCTGGTGCTTAAAATGCCAAAGATGAACCGTGAGGTTCAGGTGAAATGCCTACCCTTACAGTCGGCTCACAGACAGACCGCTTGGCGCCACAAGCCCACCGTGCTGGGGCCGACCCGGCGGCACCGGGACCCCGGCGGCAGCCAGCAGCAGCAGACGTGGAGCGGACGGAGGGAACGGGCACGCCAGGGGAGGCAGGTCGAGGGAGAGGCGCAAGCGCCGCTTGGCCC